AAAACCCAACAAAACACAACAAAAACAAAACCCACAAACAAAACAAACAACCAAACCCAAAACTGTTTAAGTTGTTGCATTGTAACCACTAAGGCTGTAGGAAGATGAACTGATCAGCATATATTTTAGCAATTATTTGTTTTAAATAGCAAATGCTGAGTGTGTGTGTGTGTGTGCTCACTCCTGTCAGATGATAGAAAACAAAAAATCACGTTAGCTAGCAAGTATTATTCATACTGAAGCTGCTATATATTAAAGACTATAATGTATTGCAAATAAACAAACTCGTTCTGTAAGCTTTCAACCACATCTTAGATTTTTTTGGAACTTAAGTTACAAGTGTATATTCAGCATTATAAATCCTAACTAGGGGGAAGTAGACTGAAATATTTTTAAATGCCACACAACTTGCATCAGCTAGATTTTAGAGGTGTGTCTGTAGGTAATTGCTTAAATTACCTTCAGTGCTTCTCTTGCATTGGCATCTTTCTCAGCTGTCTTACTGAAGATATTTATTTTTCAGGTTGGTACTTGTTAGATTAAGTTAACTTGTTAAGATGGTGTTGCCAGCCAGTGGCCACATGCCAAAAGCCAAGCATTTTGTTAGTGATTTCTGTCAAGTCACTTTTTGAGTCTTGTGAACTGACCCTCTCTGCAGGGGAGTGAGTTGCCCTGGAAAAATAAATTTACTGACAGAAATCTGAGCAAACAGTGTCTTAGCTGGGAAAGGAATGAGCATGGTAGAGAAAAAAAGTTTTCTAGAAGGACCAAAAACAGATAATTTCTGACAGCTTAGAATGACAAATCCCAGTTCTAGGGAGAAAAAGAATCTTGGCAAGTTGCAAAACATAGTGACTCTCGCTCCCTTTGCTGAAGACTTCAGTTTCAGAAAACTTCTCATTGTTGAATCTTACTGAAATTAATGTTACATGAAAAAGGTGCAAACAATCAGCTGCAATACACTACTGAAGCAGTATCCATAGACACCAGCTCCTGAATATAAGCTCTTCAGCATTTTTCTGTGTATATTTATAAAATATGAACTGGAGCAAGAGGAGGAGTACATTTAAGTAATTACTGGTATTTTAAGCAATTTATTCTTCCATTTCTAGTAATCTGGTTTAAGAAGTGTTCTTAAAAGACTGAATCTCAGTTCCATGGCAAAGAAAATCTAAAAATGTGTTAAGAAAATAATGTAAACTGAATGTGACAACAGCTCTTTGTCTTCAGTTCTGTACAAACGGTATTACATCTGTTCCCATTTTGTGGTAGAATACAAGCCCCATAAGCTGGAAAAAAGCTAGTTACGTTGGTATGACATGTAAACCCCTGAAATAATCCTTAATTAGCTGCAAGGGTCAAGTAAGCTTCTGTCTAAACGTTTTCTTAACAAATCACAGTGAACTGCTTACGAGTCTTTCAGGTAATCTAATGGCAGTGTACATAAAGCTAGAGATGATAGAGCACCAGAACATTAGGCATAACAATCTTGTTTTATAACACCACACAAACCCATAAATTCTGTGGCGCAATAAACGGGCCAACGGACAAATTGGAATGTCCAGTGTCCCAACTGCTGCTGCCCTGCTGTCTAGAACTGTTAGATGTGTTCAGTTAGCACTGCTGATTTGCAATACCCTGTTCTCTTCAATATCTTGCATTTATTCTGATCAGAGTGACCAGGGAGTTGAATTTCAGGTGTTGATTGTTGATGTTTGTGGCATGGTTTTGCTTGTTGTGGTTTGGGGTTGCCTTTGGTTTTTTTGTGAAAAAGGTGAATCCTAGATTTATTCTTCAACATGGAATTCCTTGTCAACTCTGAATATTGGTTTTTTGCCCCACTACAAGTATTTGTGTAAGCTGGGAAAAGTTTTTGGTCCCTAGAAGCTGTGAAATACCACATGGCAAGGCCTGAACTTCCTTTATGTGCATCACCTACATGTGAACTCTGTAGCTTCCAGGTTCTCTTGGGAGACAGTGGACAGAAGTGTGCTAAAAACTGTAGAGATCAGTAACTGTCACTCTCATACAGGAACAGCAGTCTTGGACAATTACATCTGACTTGCTCTAAGGCTCACCTGTATGTTGCACAATGTTTGGAGGCCAAAGTACTAAAACAGGGCCATGTGTTCTTGAGTGAGCAGGTTCCAGTTTCAGCATGATCAGGTTTACCTGTGGTTACTCTTACAGTAAAATGTATTTTCATCCTCACTGCAGCGTCAGAAAATCTGCTTGCACGCTTTTGTGTAAACATAGAAAATAAAATACTGCAGTCTTGCAGTTGTTTGCCTGTTTTTTTCCTTTAAGTTTCTTATACTTTTGGCCCTGCTCTTAGGGGGTGGGAGGTAATTTTTACAAAAAAAAAACCCTGACTGTTTCTCCCTATCCCAGGAAAGACAGTGATTACAAGTAGG